AAAAAACCTAAACCTTGGTAAATAGAAAAGGTTAAAATGAGAATTTTATGTAAATTAATTGTTAGATATCTAATTATATTTTAGCCAATGTTAAATAATTAATTATATGTTACAAACATAATATACATGCTAATTTCTCTTCTTACTATTATCTGGTTTTGTTTTACAAATTTTCAATTAAGATAAGATTTTTTCGCAATTTAAAAAATTTCGTATAATACAATTTTTACGTTTTTTTAATCAATAATTTTGGTCAACTAAAAGAGTTAATTTTGACAAATAAGAATATATATATATTTTAATTTGATGACCCTTGCTGCTTTATTTAACCGTAGGGCTTGTTTGTTTTTCCACCATAAAAATTGAGAAAAGGAAAGCCACCTTGTGAAGAAGGCTGATAAGAAAAAGGAAAAAAAAAAATGGCTTCGAATTTCTGGACTTCAACGCATTTGTAAGTTTCAATTACAGATCTCCTAACAAGAGATGAGATGGTCTTTTTATCCAGCTTCTGTTTTCCTTGACACTTTTTTGGTTTCTGGGTTTCTTCGCACAGCAAAGAGCTTAAGGACCCAGAAGAGATTAATGTTATTCATCCTCTTGACGCTCAGAGAGGGATCTCTGTTGAAGATTTCAGGCTCATTAAGCTTCATATGTCTAATTGTATGTCTAGATTCTTTCTATTTATCAAACCTCTTTCCCTTTTTTTTCATTGTTTTTTTGTTTGATAAAAGACCTGTTTCCTTTATTACCTTGTTGTACTAATAAAGGGAACAAGAATAATCTAGTGATCGGTTTCTCAGAGGGTGGTCTCCATTTTTGTTGGCTAGTCCTTTAGTTTCGGAATTGCTGTATGGATCATCATTTCACATTCTTGTTCGTTTCAGATATATCGAAACTGGCACAGCACATTAAGATTAGGCAAAGGTGAAGTCTTTCGACAACATATCACCTCTTTTAGTCTTGGGAGTTATGATATGTGCAACCATCCTTTGATACAATGCTGACTGATTTAGCACTTTTTCATATGAGTCAGAGTTGTTGCAACTGCAGTAACCTATATGCGACGTGTGTACACAAGGTACGCCTGCTCTAGTTTCTGTTACTCTTGTGTGGCACGAGGCTCGGTCATTGATTTATGTCTACTGTGTTTGACAGAAAGAGTTTGACGGAATATGAGCCTCGCCTTGTTGCTCCCACCTGCTTGTATTTGGCTTGTAAAGCAGAGGAGAGTGTGGTGCATGCCAAAATTCTTGTTTTCTACATAAAAAAATTATGTAATTCTTTTCTTTGCTTTTCTGCGTCAAACTTTCTTCATTGGGAAAATTTAAACGAGCTTTGTCTGAGTTTCGGATGAAATTGAATGCTTCACTCTGCAGATGCTGACGAAAAGTTCAGATATGAGATTAAGGATATTCTGGAAATGGAGATGAAGATCTTGGAAGCATTGAACTTCTATCTTGTTGTATTCCATCCATACCGATCCATGCCTGAGTAAGTGTTTTTGCTTGGGATCTTATTTGTCGATATGAAGCTGCCTTTCAAATCAGCCAAACACAAAATCCTTTTGCTACTATATATATTTTGCGTTTCTTTGTGATTCATATTCTTACTTTACAGGTTCTTGCAGGATTCTGGAATCAATGACACAAGTATGACCCATTTAACTTGGTAAGTATAGCAGCAAAAGGATTTGTCCTTTATTAATCTTGCGGATGAAGTGTTGTAATCAAAAAATCAATTGCATAATTCCCGCTTTAGAACATTTACCTGCATCTGACAAAATCTTAAATTGAACACAGTTAAACAGGTTTTGATTTGCAAGCAAAAGTAAAATGCTCTCTTGATGCTTAAGTTTTTGTGGAAACTATAGGGGTCTTGTCAACGACACTTACAGAATGGACCTCATCCTTACACATCCGCCTTATCTCATATCACTTGCTTGCATATACATTGCTTCTGTATACAAAGACAAAGATATAAGGACATGGTTTGAAGAGCTTTCTGTGGACATGAACATAGTAAGTCTATGTTTACACTCTTAATTCCTCCATCTTAAACTTCTCTTGTTACATTGTCTCGTCCTCTTAGTTATCTGAGAAATTATTAGCTCTACTGTCACTAAAACTTTGAATGCTTTCAACTGCACATTTTAGTCATTTCCATTATCAGGTCTTGTTTAATCGTTCATCGGTATGTTCTGAACATTGGCAGGTGAAGAATATCGCAATGGAGATATTAGATTTCTATGAAAACCATAGAATGTTCACGGAAGAGAGAGTTCATGCCGCTTTCAACAAACTTGCTACAAGCCCGTAATGTTTTGACGGGAATCTACTCGACTTGTCTATGTTTGTTTTTGTTTCCCTGAGAAAATATGTTTTGCCAGAAGTTTCTGAGGATGAGATTATTTGGTTATTGTACATCAGTTTTGCTCAGCTTGGTTCAACCATGTCTTGCCTATGTGTAGACCCAGTAAAAAAAGGGTGGCAAACTGAAAAAAACAAAATAACTCAGCCTATAACCATTTTAGAAAATCTGACAAAATTTAAACTATTATTGAAAACCCAACATATTTAATGATGCAAATAAACATTTTCAAAAACTAAATGCCATTTTTGGAAAAACAAAATCCAAGTACATTTCTCATCAAAAAGCGGGTGCCTCTTTCAATTTAGGGAAATTGGCAAAAATGTCTCTAAAATTTTAATAATTAAATGGCTAACTATAATGGATTTATGGTAAGATATGGGCTGTGGGGCTGTGTAATCCTATACATAAACGATGGGTTCCTTTCACCGGAAGTTGCCACATCAGCCCTCTATTTTTTGACACATCAGCATTTAAAAATATTAAATTTTTCAATCTTTGGAGATTAATGAGATAATATATTAAATCTTTAACAAAATGGATTGGTTAACAAAGATTCACTAATTAAAGGAAAAAACTTATAAACTATTTGTGCCTACCCTAAATGTCAACTTATTAACTTTCATTACCTATATAAGACACATATTAGTCGACACATCAAACTAAAAACATCACTTCATCATTTTTTTCGTTTAAACATTCATAATCTTTATTATCAATTTTTCGAGATTTTTTGCATGGTTGAAATTTAATCGGTTTTTTTGTTTCTTATTTTGCAGGTTATAGATCTCCGGCATCGGCATC